GTGTTGTCCTTCCATAGTAGGAGTTTAGTTGGGTAGCCCCAGCGGTATTGTATGTTATGATTGCGTAGAGTCTTCATGACTGTGATGAATTCCCGTCTTCTTTCCATGGTAAGCGCCGATAGATCTGCGTATACCTGGATGCCTTGGTATGGTGAGGGGAGCTGCTGTAGTTTGCGCGCCGCGGCCATCAGTGTTTCTTTTGACTTGAAATAGTGGAATCTGACCACCGTGTCTTTTGGTGTGTCATTTGCGAATCGCGGTGGCCGAGGGATGCGATGGGCCCTGTCCATAAGCCACCTGTCCTTCTCTATGGCCGGTGCCAGAGTGGTGCAGAGGCCTGTTATATAGTCAGGGAGTGCGTCATGGGGTACACTGTCGGGGATGCCTCTGAATCTTACGTTATCTTACGGTCTTCCAGATCTGCCGTTTTCCTTTTCAGTATTAGGTGTTCTTCCCTGAGCGCCTGCAGTTGTTCTGCAAGATCATTTTGTGTGGCGCACATTTCTTCCGTCCGTACCTCCAGGCGGTCTGTGCGGTCCCCAATGTCGGCCAGTTCCCGCTTAAATTCTGCAGTCATTTGTTTCATGTCCGCATTTAAGGTGGTTCTCAGTTCTTGCAGCATAATAAACAGCCTTTTTTCGCTGGCTGGTGCCTCTGTATATGAGGAGGGCGTTGTGTCAGTATCTGAGAGCTGATCTGGTGTCGGATAGCAGCCCATGCTGTCGTCGCCATCTTGCAGGGGCCTGCTTTTGTCTTTCCTGGCGGGTTTTATTTGGTCCGTCATTTTTAATTGTTTGGACGGTGCCATGTTGCTGTATCCAGTGCCGGGTGAGTTTTTACCGGGTATTGACCTCCGGATTCGCCTAAACGCTGCGTTTGGGTCCGTTGTAGCCGGGAGCTCCTACTCCATGCCGGCTGTCGGACACGCCCCCCCCGGATTAATTGGTTTTCAATGCATTCTTATGGGAAACTGCGTTTCGGTTTACAAATGTTTAGCAATAAGAAACGTCCCGGATAACGCATTAAATTCGTAAAACGAGGTCCCACTGTATTAGATTGAGAGCTTTTCTTTATATTTAGTAATAATACATTCACTCTGAATTGGGGTCTCCTGTGTTTATAAGGGTCTGTAAGCGATATGATTGCAGCCCTGTAGGGTAGACTGAGAGTCGAGGCAGTATATGCAGAGTGATATGCAGGCACCCCCTGGCTGGAAACTGTGCCACCTGCAGGGGGGATACAGGAAGGAGTCCTCACCACTAGGGATCCAGGTGTGACTGGTTGCATAAACAAAGTTATTTAACTGCTAAATGGAGGAGAATTGAACAGAGAGATGGCAGGGGCAATATATATACTCCATAAGTGCTTCATTATTCCGTTTTGTTGACTATAGTGTCCTTTTAATTAAAATTCTCAAAAATTCACAGCTTTTTTGAAAAACCCTAAGGTGTAAGATGGACATGATACGATGCATTTTTTACAAGTTATTGAAATTTATCAAAACTGTTTCATATTTATATTTAAGGTTTTGGTCAACATGTTGTGATAGTGTGTACTACAATAAATCCTACGCCTTAAGTCTGGCAAAGCATCGTTCGAGATCTATCTCAATCACTACATGTGTCTCTGCTTGCACCCTCATCCCAGTGTATGTCTTTCCTTACCCCCTCGCCCCATTGTGTGCCTCTCCTCGCCCCATTGTGTGCCTCTCCTTGCCCCCTCACCCCATTGTGTGCCTCTCCTCACCCCCTTGTGTGCCTCTCCTCACCCCCTTGTGTGCCTCTCCTTACCCCCTTGTGTGCCTCTCCTTACCCCCTTGTGTGCCTCTCCTTACCCCATTGTTTGTCTCAACTAACCATCATTCTATGTTATACCATTCCTTTTATCCTACCCCATTTTGTGTTTCCTCTCACCCTCTTACCTACTTGGAATTTTCCCTTTGCCCTTGTTATGCCTTGCCTCCTTTGTGTCACGGGTGGCGGTATGGAAACCGGGACCCCTGAGTGCCTGATAAGATGGGAGTCTTTAGCGTGGTAATGGACTATCAGGGCCTGGTGCAGGGTAACCGCACGCCCCCTGGTGTTGAGCACCAGCGTTTGCGCAGCCACATACCAGAACACTGATGCAGCTACAGCGGATCCCAGGAACTAGGAGCTTGATATGCAGACCTCCCAGGAACTGGATAGGGGGACTCTGCAGCAGACATGTATCCAGTACAGAAACAAGGCAAGACTAGAACAGGCACCAAACATGAAAACAAGACAGAACTAATAGAACCCAGAACCAGAGCAGGACAGAAAGCAGAACATGTACACAAGACATGAGGAAAACAAGAATAGGGCAGGACAGGACTGTACATGGACTGGGTTAACAAAATAAAACAAGACAAGATATAATAGGCAAAACAAGAGCAGACATAACTAAGCACTATAAATGAAAAGTATGGGGATTTAGTTACATTGCATAAGCCTGCCAACAACGCCAATGTAGCCCATATCTGGCAGGTCCTACACTGCCTAATGTTCGCTAAAACAACCACACTAAACCACAATAGCACTTACCTGCAAGAAAGGGCAGAGACTTGAAACACTGCTGCAGGTCCAGACTGAAACAAAAGGAAAATGGGAAAACAAACGGGTGTGGCAACATAAAACAAACATTTAAATGAATCCAAGAGACTGGGAAATCCAGGGACAGAATATAAAAATGAACCCAGAAACCCAGCATAAAGAAAACCAGACATAGAATAGAAAACCTAAACAAGAATTGTAAAAAGAGTATTGGATACCAGAAACCAAAGCCAGACATCTCCGCAGAACATGGCATGATGTGACACTTTGGCCTTTGCAATTATCCAGTTAGTGGCCTGAAGCAGAGAATCTTCCTGCCCCCTGCCTGGTTTGTTAGGCCTATTCCAGGCTGCAATGGAACTGCATGCAGGGTAATTGGAGAGAGGTTATGGAATTCAGTCCTATCCTTCGCCTTTACCCTTACTCACACTGCCACTCAGAGCCTGGAGCAGCCATGACAGACTGGATAGTAGAACATGAAGATCCTCTTTCTCAGACCTGCTCTCCACTCTACAACGCGTGACATGGCAGAAGAAGGGTGCTCGGCGCACCCCCAACCGTGTGTCATCCAGGGCAAACAGCAGCCACCCCACAATCCTTATTTGTACACTATTCAACCCAAACATGGATCGCACGAGCCAAGTACGTCACAAAAAATCTAATTTCCAAAACGATACAAAGCAAATGTCACAGGATTAAGCTTGTTTGTTAAGGCTACAGAATGTAGACAGGCAGGTTTTCATTGGTTTAGCCTATGCAAATTTACATCACAAACCCAATACTGAAATCATTAGAGTTTATTCACTAATCCGTGAACTGTGACACAAGGACAAGAGAATTACAACATTTGGGATAAAAAAAAGTCAGTGAATTGGAAATGTTCCTAAATAGGCTATTCTGGCCAACATTTTGTAACACCTGCAATCACCTTGATAATTCACTGCTTGGTGAAACCTCCATGTTTACGCTGCTGTGCGCAGGTGTGATCTGTGGCTTTTAGTGAAATTAGTGTATGAAATTGATGCTTTTTTAAAGTTTGTAAAACACATTGCAAAAAAATCCCAGCTACTTACAGAGTCATTTATTTGCGTATAGTTATGTTATTCGGGGCTTAAAATTTCACATCCTACCCTTCTAGCCAGGCCTTAAGTTACTCACCACTGCCAGAATGAAAGACTGTGGCACACTCGCCAGAGAAACTTTAACTTGCCAGTGGCTACTGTTATTAATTGCACGATATTTGTCCCCTGTCCCCTGATATTTGTCCCCTGTCATTCTGTTGCTTTCTCTATTAGGCGTATCTAATACAGGAGGGAGTACAGTCCCAAATCTGCACAACGCTTAAGAATTGAGTCATTATTATATGACTCCATACTTGTAAGTATCCACTTGGGATTCTTTATTTTAAATTAGAATTATTATCAACAATACTGCGCAATCGTTTGTGCCTCTATCTTCTCTACAGAACAAGATCCATATTGGTAATAGGGGTGGGTCGCCTATACGGACCCTGAAACGATTCAAACCAGAGCTGGGTCCATAGCTCTCCATTTGTGAGTGTATATACATTAGAATGAAAACACATTACCCTGTTATGTATGATCTATACTATGTTTGTTTAATTATTTTTTATAGATATCTGTACATGTTTGACATACAAGGGAAAAAAAAAAGGTGATCAATTCATTTTTTATCAAAGCGCTACATTCTTTTCTTGGTTTTTATTTTGTATTGGTGATATTGTAAAGAATCACTTGAATGTATAGCAACTAATAAGAACTATTTATAAGTTGGTATATTGATATTTAAACTAATAAGGGCTGGTTCCGATTTACACTTTTTTGCAGTATCTATATTATGCATATATAGGGTGTATGATACTAGATATTAATCTTCTCTACATCCACCTAAGACATTATGCTAATAGTTTTCAAGTTACATCCTGGGGCATTGGTAGAACTCATTTTATGAGCTCAGGAAGATGAAATACCATGCTGTGGCCATGAATATATTCTACGTGATTAAACATCCCTGCATCAGAAAGCCAGCACTGTGAAAAACATCACTCCTGAGGAAGTTCCAAAGGATCGTGGGGACGAAACACGTTGAACGAGTTCTTGGTGTTCTGCAGACCAGATTTCTGGACAATAAAGGTGTCCTTTAATTGTGGCTTGCAGGTCTCCCCTGAGTGCTGGAATTGTGCACACCTTCTTGACCTCGACCAGTTCCATCCTTTACTGCAGTTTAGTTCACACATGTTCTGATAGATCTCCTCCCCAACCTCCACAGAGGAGAAGACAAAGATTGAGATAGTTATGGACCTTCAAGTGGCAAAGTTTCCTGAGACAAATCTCAGAATTGCTTATAATTCGTAGGTTCTCCATGTGGATAGAAAGACAATACACTAACTGGAACCCACTTTCCATTTCTCTAAGTTCCAAATCATTGGGTGTTTCTAGATAGACATCCATTGGGCAAAAACAACAGACTTGGATCTATCCTGGTATGATTCTTTAAAGGAGAAAGGCAAGGAAAGACGGTAAAAAAAACCAATTGAAAGAAGTCGATTTAAGAGTGTTTGTAAATGAGGCAGAAAGAGCATGCACGGCCTAGAAACACAAACTGATGAATTAGAGAAGAAAGAAGCAAATGAGGCTCCTGACGTACTGCATGTACTCAGTAAAATATTGTTCTACGAAACACAATATAACATGTTTTTTTCTTCCATGTAAATAATTCCCAGTTTCTATATTTTTCTATACAACATTGCTGAGTTTCAGACCCAATAAAAATGCCATGTGAATACCATCTAAGTGCTGAATATGAAATTAAGAAGTAACAGTCAATGAAAGATTGGGATGACCTTGATTCGTACCAACCAGGAACCGATCAAACTGTTGCCACTAGTGCAGATCAATGTGCACCATTGTTCGTAAAGAAATTTATATCCTTTGATTGATTTGGTTTTATTTAGGATTATGATAATTATTACAATAATTCATTAAATGATCCCCCAGGAAAGGAATTCAAAGCTTGACTTTATAGGATCAAGACAGGGAAATGTAGAGACAGGTTCGTAATAGAACCGATGATATTAAACTGTCACGTTACTGCTGGGGAGACCATTAAAAGGAAGAGATTATTCCAAACTTCAAACATTTTTAAATAAATCAAGTAGGAATTATAATGCAAAGATCATCCCAGATGCCAGTTATTGGGTTCACACCCTCTTGCAGAGAACAAGCATTTGCATTGCCACTTGCCATAACTTGTAACGAGTGTTCTGTCTGTAAAATGCTTCCTTGTTCTCATCATTAATATAGAATGTGATTAAACCGTCTTTGTTTAAAGAAATATATTATCTATGTCTCCATTTATGGTTGATATTTGATACTGTGTCTATGTGCTCATTAGGAAAGGAGTTATATGTGTTTCAGTGATTTATTACTTTATTAGAAAAACGAATATCAATTGGTTATTCCATTGCAACATTACATCAGACATGCTGTGGGTCCACATTTTGGCAGACGACATATGCGTCCTGGTGGGATTTATGGTGGTAGTGGGTTGGTTATCTATCACAAGCGCACACACACTGCATTTAGATGCAGATAGATTAACATACACAATGCATGCATTTAATAGACATAATCAGAATACATAGCACATTAAAACCTTAATTGAGTTTGAGAGAGATTCAAAGACTGGAGATTTTGTGATTATCGTGTTTTCGCTTGCCACTTGTAAACCTACGGCAGATTAACCATAAACCATGCTATGTTAAGTATGTCTAATTAATTCATTCCTGCAACTTGTACAGACAGCAAGGCTCCAATCAATCGGACACGAATCTCAAATGCAAAAAATAAACATCAGCATCACGTGGGTCTATTAGCAATGCTTCTAGTGGGTATAATTACCCAAAGCCCCCACGATTGCACCCCTTCTGATACACAAAACATTATCTGTATTCATGACTTGTATAAAATCCTACTGGAATTGCCCTTCCGTCAGGCCTCCGGGAAACTATTTTATTAGTTCTTTTGCCCTTTTGTCATTCAAATATAATATTTGGTAATTAAACATGACCATTAGAACTGAATATTAGTCTCACTCTAGTATGAAATGATGTTCCTAAATCAGATCAGAAAGATTTTCAAAATAAATAAAAGTAGGATATTTACACCAGGACATCATTAGGACATATCCACCTGACTAAGGAGTTTCCACATTCCCTCTTATAGTAAAACATCCTCACCATGATGTACTCATACAATATAGATCAGGGAAAGTCAGTGGTAGAACCACAGCTGGCAAAGCACCATGGGAAGTGTACTTCTGGGGATCTACGCTTTGGCCACCCTGATATGGATTAACCTGCAATAGTGTGGGGAAGTTGTGTAAAACAGTTGTGATAAAAGTAGTGTACCTGTAGCCCCATGTAGCCAAAGCGCAGCTAAGCGAAAAAAGGCCTTGACAGGGGTTAGGAGGCGGGCATAGGAGGAGGGAAGGAAGTAGGGAGTTATGGGTAAGTAGGCTTGGCTATTTAAATAGGCAGCCATTTTAAAGCCTTCACTTTTAATTACTACCTTGCTGAGTTTGTGTGCACTCCTGTGTCCACAGATTTGGTTTGGTGGGGTCTTTGTTTTTCTCTCCTTCTGCAGGGTCGAAGGATAACATGGAGGAGCTGTTGGAGCGGATCCGGTTGGCGGCTCAAGGACGTGGCGTGGACTGGCTGCGGGCGCAACTTGGACCAGCCCTGGCGGGTGCTGCGGATCATGAGGGCGGCGGAGGTCGGCCTGTGCGGGCTCGGAGGCCGCCGAGACGGCTGAGCCCAGGCGCGGAGTCCGGTGGAGACGGTTCCAGCGGCCGGGCGGCGGCGGGACCAGGCCGAAACGGACCCGGTAGCCGCATGGTTGAGGCTCCGCCTCCCGGCGCGTTACCGGGACGTCGGAGAAGCGGTAGCCGGCGGGAGGCTACCCGGGAGTCGGACGGTGCAGCTCCCAGTGCGGGGAGGGCTGCGCCTGGAGCGGGGGCCGCGGGAGACATCGGGCGGCCCCCTGGAACCGGTGAGGACACGGGATTGCAGCCCGGGAGGGCATCTACTACACCCATGGCGGGGACTGGCGGGGCCGGTGCGGAAGGAGCTCGCGGACCGCCCCTGGAACAGGCAAGTGCAGGGGGTTCCGGCCGGGACCCCCTTGGCGCGAATCAGCGCAGGAGGACTGGGCACAGGGTTCAGAGTCCTGGGGGGGACGTGGGGAGGGGTCAGGTGCCTGCTAGAGCGGGGGCAGGGAGGTCTAGGGGGGAGGGTGCGCAGGGTAGTTCCAGGGTAGTGAGCTTGGAGCGAGGGCCAGTAGCCGGGAGGGTGGAAGGGCCAGGGGGTACGGCAGGGGGAAGTTTGCCATCAGGGGGGGGCAGGAGGTCGAGGTGCGCAGGGCGTTCAGGACAGGTTAGGGGTGCGGGGTCTGGGGACCGGCTGGAGGTACCGAGGGGAGGGGGTGCTTCTAGTCGGGGGGCCCGCCGGGGTGGGGGGTGGGGATTTCCCTGCGCTGGTGAGCAGATAGGTGGGCGTAGTTCTGGGGGGGGTTCAGGTTTGGGGTCAGGTGATAGCAGCCCGTCACCGGTTAGGGCCCGGGGGTCCGGGGGGTTTAAGGGAAGGGCTCGGCGTGTTAGGTCCTCATCTAGTAGCTCAGGGGGGGAGAGTGTCATGGCCCCCAGGCTGGTTACACGGGGGCGGGCCTCTGGTAGAAACGGGAGGAGTCGTAGTCCCAGAGGCAGGGCCGATCGGGCCTTGGGTGGGCGAAAAGGAGTGGTTGCGCGACGGGAGGCTCTGGTGTCCAGCGGGCGCTCTCAAGGTCGGGACGGGGGGGCTGCTCATGACCAGTATGCTCTGCCCAGGACTTCTTCTCCTCGTTACAGATCTCGGAGCCGCTCCGCATCTGATGTGGCCGGGCACCGGGTTGGCTCCCCGGTTGGAGGATCGTTAACGGATGTCGCTCATCCTGGTCAGGGGACAGTACACAACGCAGCCCCAGGAGCTTCGGGGTCGAGGGGCTTGGCCGGTGAGTCCTCTGCTTCTCTGCACTCCAGTGCATTGGTTCATACACTTCAAGCACTTCTCCACTCACTGGGAGCGGGGGGTGCCACAAAGGGCGGTGTGGGGCAGGTTTGGGCTCAGGGGGCCGGGGTGGCGGGCCCGAGCGAGGTTCCCTCCGCGGAACAGAGTTCGGGTGGGGACACTGCAGTGACGGTTACTGGGGCGGAGGCGACGAGCGAGCGGGCTGAGTTGACGGGGTGGGTGGTTCCTGATGCGGCCAGGCAACACGCATATGTGTCGTTTGCGGGTCCGCTGGGGGTCCACCTCAAACAGGAGGTGAAGGAAAAAATCTGGAAGGGTGACTTCTGCGAGATCTTTTCTCTTCTCCCTTTGGAGGATTTTATTGATCTCAAAGAGGACGATAAAAAAGATGAGAAGAAGGAGGAGGAAGAGAAGAAGAAGCGGTATCGTAAGATTCCCAAGTCTTTCGGTAACTGGCTGAGGGCCTTTTGCGTGTTGGCCAGTGTTCTGGGCGAGAAATCGCCGGGCCTGTGCTCCTCTCTGTTTTGTTATTTGGATGGCATTTGGGAGGCGTATCGCACCTATGGCGGACTGGCATGGTGGCGGTACGACGAGCAATTCCGGCAGCGTTTGGCGGCTAATCCGGGTATGCGGTGGGATCAAATGGACCTGCCTCTCTGGATGAAGCTGATGATGGCGCAAAAAGCGCAGCCATTTCAGCCCACGGCCGGCGCAAAGGGGCAGTCCGCCTCGTCGGCCGCCATGCAAAAGGGCTTCTGCTGGCTCTTTAACGAGGGCCAGTGCAAATGGGGAAACGCCTGTCGCTTTAAGCACGAGTGTTCGGGCTGCGGAGGCGCGCATGGGCTCAACCGGTGCTTCAAAAAAGGGAAGTCGGGGCACACCGGGGTCCCTACCTCGGCTGGGGGGGGAGGGGGAGTTTCGCTTGCCCCGGGGCCTAACCCCGGTGAGGCTAGACGCGATGGAGCCGTGGCTAAGCCGCTACGGTAATAAGGCAGATGCCGTGGCGCTCCGGGCGGGGTTTGGTCAGGGGTTCTTTATCCCTTTCCGGAACCGGGGGGGGACTGGGGTTCGGCGCAACCTTAAATCGGTGGCTGAGTTCCCGGGTGTGGTGCGGGAAAAACTGGGCAAGGAAGTCAAATTGGGGAGGATGGCAGGGCCGTTCCCGGCTCCTCCATTGGAGGGTCTGCGGGTTTCCCCGCTCGGGGTGGTTCCCAAGAAGGAACCGGGCAAATTCAGCTCATTCACCACCTCTCCTACCCGGAAGGAGAGTCGGTGAATGATGATATTGACAAGGGCTTGTGCTCGGTCTCATACGCATCATTCGACAGGGCGGTCGAGCTGGTAAGGAAGGCCGGGCGCGGAGCACTGTTGGCTAAGGTGGATATTGAAGCAGCGTTTCGGCTGCTTCCGGTCCACCCAGCGTGTCATCACTTGCTGGGGTGTTTCTTCGACGGGGGGTACTTTGTGGATTTGTGCCTTCCAATGGGTTGTGCTATCTCCTGCGCCTACTTTGAGAAGTTTAGTACTTTTCTTGAATGGGTGGTCAAAGTTGAGGCGGGGAGTGGGGCTGTGGTACACTACCTGGACGATTTTCTCTGCGTAGGACCGGCGGGCTCCCCCGCCTGCCTACACTTGCTGAGAACGGTCGAGTGGGTGG